AATATTAAGAACTATGGTTACTTTTACTCGAGTCAAATTTCCCTGCTACTCATTTTTTACTAACAGAATTTCTTTTTAACCATAATCTATCAGCAACAGAAGCTTTTTTGTTTCAATGTTATTTATTTATTTATTTTTATATTTAGTTTTTACCTGGAGATCAAGCATACATATAGTAAACTGGAGATATTTTCATTAGAGGTACTTTTCTGCTCTAACATAATACATGCATGTTAAACGTAAACATTAGGTGTCATTAGTTTTATGTTGAAAATAACAAGCCTAGAAAAGTATTTTTATTTCCTAAATTTGTTTCTTTTTAATTATGTTAATCTTTAATTTTATTCTAGTCTCTAAAATACAAGAATTTGTACATACATTTATAGTTTTGTCTGATAATAAAAAATCAGATCTTATTAGTATGATTACTCTGTACTTCAGTAGCTTTCTTACCGAACATGTTTTACTTGAAGTATTTCTTTGCTGTATACTTTTTACTTAAAACTTTTGTTGTTACTCACACTTCATTTAAATTTTATGCCCTTCAATCGATTTCTGTATGTGGGTAAGTCATGGCGGATCAACTCTTGGAGGAACAATCTCACCTGGAGGCGTAACAAACTGTTAAAAGCTGCAAGAAAATTTGGGGAATTTGTGAAGATATTGATCTGATGTGTAACCTTATCTTAAACATATAGAGGATGATCTTTTATTTCCAGGTGGATCATCTAAATAAGTGGTCCTCCTAATTGTCAATCATTCTGGTGATATGTTTACGTAACGTTTACGTAGCTATCTTTTTCTGGTCATGCGCACTTTCAGGCATATATCTCTTTAGGGCTACGGTTTCGCTCATTGAAGCTCAAATTTATCACCGTGGCTCTTTTAAAATGGCCGAGGGTTGAAAGAGAAAAAGTGTCTATGAAGTGTTTGAGGGAAAAAAAAGAAAGGCCTCAAAGAGGCAGATATATCCCAGAATGCTTTGCTTTTCTTGCAAAGCATTATGGGATTTGCTGTCACAGCTGTCTGCTGTCGCTACCCAACATCAGCGACTAATAACAAAGATGGCGCAGGCACCGTGCAATGGAGGAGGAGTTATGTGACCAACAGGGAGCAAAAAGCAGTGATCATCTGTCCTAACGGTAAGTTAACTGAGTTTGCTATAGAGTCCAATATATAGTCCCTTCTCGGGGATCCAGGTCCTTGAGAACAAAAGAGTTAAGTTTGCTGTAGAAACTTGACAAAAGAAACAAAATATTTTCATTCATCCCAGTTTGAAGCAAATTAAGTGCAACTGTAGATTTCTCATGGAGGGACTTGTCTCCACCTACAATGGGTGGCATGAATGTTACCAAACATCCACATGGCATGGCTGTCCATAAGGGAAGATTTTGGGGATGTAAAATACTGATGTTGGTGCTAAAGGTGGAGGCAAGAGTGCAACTTATTTTTCAAAAATGCTTCAAATTTAGCTGGTAAGATGTCAAAAGAGGCCATTAATGCTTGATGAGTTGAATTATGATCCTTGGCTGATAATAATGATTAAGCATTGAAATTGGAAGGGACATTTTGTCGTCGAGTAGACTGGAATACATTTTTCGGCAGATTGAGGGGAAACTGAGGAGCGTAGCTCTGTGGACATGAGATAAGAGGTGTAGATAAAATGAATTACCCAATCTCTCAGTGAGAAACTCTCCAGATTTAAGAAGAATATTTCTATAGTAAAAAATCGAACGCTAACCGGCAGGTATGTTTTCTCTAGGTTTCAATCTGTGGTCGCTATCAATCTAAATCAGTCCGGCCTCCTAATTCTGTTGGTGTTATCCTCCAGCAAAAGCTGTGCACAACTTCGTGCAACAAGTTTTGATTGTCTCTGCACCTTGTCCACCTTAGGGTTCACCAGACTGGACTGGTTAGGGAGACCATATTGTCAGTTAGAAAGGAAATTCCTCTCTGAGAATTAGTTTCAAAAAGATTGTGCTCTTTAGTGCACAAACCGGTGCAGATTTATATTTAACATGTTAAAAGCAAGGGAAAATGTAGAGTTTCTATTCGACCGTGGTTGTTTTCATCACCCTATGAGGCGTTTTACACTATCATAAGCAGCTAAATGCAATTCATTTCCAGGGTTTCAATTTTAAACTATAAAAAACTAATTCTTTAAAAAACAAGAATTTGGATGCTGCAGTTGAATCACAAATATGAATCCCTAAATATGTTAAAGTTATGCTATATTTTTTCAATGAGAGATATTCTGCTTTTGACTATTTCTTTATGTTTTAAATAACAAATAAAAACAACATAGTAGATGTTGTATATATGTGCAATAATTTAAATTTTTAGATAGCCAT